GAGCTGTGGCGGGCGGCGCCCCGGTCGCCGCAGGCCCCGCGGGAGGCAGCGGCGAGGATGTCGGGAGGTGATGAGAAGGGGGGGTGAAAAGAGGGGGGTGATGACTAGGGGGGGGGGGGATTTCATGGCGCGGGCCATGATTTTTCCCCAGATTTCATGGCGCCTCTTCTTATTTCAGTACGTTCCAGGCCCCCCGCTGGGCCGCGCACGTGCCGCCGGTCATGATTTGCACCCCCCCCTCTTGGACACCCCCCTCTTGGCCGCTCCCGAGGATGGGGGGGGGGAAGGGGGGCTGGCCCAGGGGTTGGGGTCGGCGGCGAGCCCTCCGGGGGAGGCTAGGGGGGGGGGGGATTTCATGGCGCGGGCCATGATTTTTCCCCAGATTTCATGGCGCCTCTTCTTATTTCAGTACGTTCCAGGCCCCCCGCTGGGCCGCGCACGTGCCGCCGGTCATGATTTGCACCCCCCCCTCTTGGACACCCCCCTCTTGGCCGCTCCCGAGGATGGGGGGGGGGAAGGGGGGCTGGCCCAGGGGTTGGGGTCGGCGGCGAGCCCTCCGGGGGAGGCGAGAAGGAGGGCGCAGGGCTCGAGCTGAACGGTGTCTTGGCGATTTCGTGGGCCGTTTTCGTTCGGATCTCGTTTCGTGGCACAGGCAGAACGAAGACAGGGCATCGTTTGGATCTCGTTTCGTGGCACAGGCAGAACGAAGACAGAGCGAAAGAGAACAAAACGATTACGAAAAACACTGTTTAGCTCGACCCCCGGGAGGAGGCCTGCTTAGAAGGTGGCAGGGCTTCTCAGGAGCCCCTCCTGCCTCCCGAGACGTTTGCGGCGTCTTCGGGGGAGGCCCAGGAAGCTTCTCTCACGCCTTCCGAGCCTCGAGAAGGCCCGCCCCCCTCTGACTTCCACCCCGGCGCGCCGCCGACTGAGCTTCGAGGCTCGATGCTTCGATGCTCGTTTTGGGGACCTTCCTGGAGTCCACCTAATGGATCTGTTCGACTCAGGTTCGACTCAGGTTCGACTCAGGTTCGACTCAGGCTCGACTCAGATTCGACTCAGGTTCGACTCAGGTTCGACGCAGGCTCGACGCAGCTTCGACGCAGCTTCGACGCACGAGCGGAGCGAGTGGCTCCAGGAAGGTCCCCAGAACGAGCATCTAACGATGCCCTCGGACGTTCTCCATTCAGGAGGAAAAGAAACACACAGACACAATTAATCTTCGATTTCCCAGAAAATATGGGAAAATATGGGAAGTGGGGGGGAAGACAAAAACTCCAAAAATATAGGAAAATATGGGGACTATTTTTATTTGTGTGTATTTATTTGTGTGTCCTAATTTCCCTTTACATCTAACGATGCTCTCGGACGTTCGCCCTTGGCTCTCGGCGGCCTGCCGGCCTTCGGGGTGCGCTCTCCAGGCCGCCGCGCGCCTCCGCCGAGAGCGCGCTCTCCGGGGGGCAGTGCCCGAAGCGCCCCGCACGGCCGCCGGAGAGCCGAGCGGGGACCCGAAGGCCAGGGGGGGCAGCGTCGGCGGAGGGCTGGCCCCACGGGGGGGGGGGGGGAAGCGTCGCCCCCCATCGCCCACTCCTCCTCCCTCCTCCCTCCGCTCTCTTCCCTCTGATCTCCTCCTCCTCCTCCTCCTCCTCCTCCTCCTCCTCCTCCTCCTCCCTCACACCTCAGCTCCAGGGGGGGGGGAAGCGTCGCCCCCCCTCGCCCACTCCAACGAAGGATTGCAAAAAAAAAAACACCCAGGATTGCAAAAAAAAAGCCCTACTTGAACGAAGGATTGCAAACAAAAAACCCAGGTTTTTTTTTGCAATCCTTCGTTCAAACGAGGTTTTTTTTTTTTGCACACCCAGGTTTTTTTTTGCAAGCCCATCGTCACCACCTACCAAACCACCCCAAGCCAACCCGAAGGCCTCAGTTTGCCCTCCATTTCCAGTGGGGGGGGGGGTCGGGGAACGTTGAAAAAACACATGGTACCCGTACCCCCCCCCCAACCCGAAATTCGGGGTCAAATTCGGGTCTTCGGGTTGGGTTGGGGTGGTCTGGTTGGTAGTCAAATCGGGGCCCGGGCCCCCTCTCCCGCCCAGGAGCGTGCGCCCCCCCCCCCCCCCCCCTCCTCCCCCAGGCGTGCGATGTGCTGACTTTTTCAGCGCCCGGCTCCCCCGAAGTCCCGGCTTTTCGTCCCAAGTCGTTTTTTGGCAGTCCTCGGGCCCGGTAAGGGCCCCCAGATGCCGAAAGCGGCCAAAAAAACTTCCCGTGCTGTTTATTTTCACGACGCGAGCATGTCTGGGCCTGGCATTCTCTTTTCGGCGCACCTGATGCCCTAGATCTCCCAGATGGGGTCCGAGTTGGGGTCGGAGGATCGTGCTGCATCGCCGATGCATCGGCGAGGCGGCTCGATTTGGAGACCCGATCTTGGCGACGAGGCCGATGCATCACCGACGTCGCCGATCCCATCTACTCTGAGCCCATCTGGGAGGCCTCAAGAGAAGTACCCCGCCTCTGTCCCCCAGCCCCGAAGCGCCGCGCCCTCGACCACGCACCGCGGGCCCATGGCGCCCGCCTCCCTGGGCGCCACTGGCTGGCGGCGCGCACAGCGACGATGTCGTCGCCGTCGCCGTCGCGGAAGAAGCCGCGGCGGAAGTCGTCTGCCCAGTGAGGCCTCTGGGGATTTGGAGTCGGCTGGGGGTCCGAGGTGGCCCGCTATTGGTTCGGCGAGCAGGAGGGGGGGGGGCGAGGCTCGGGGTACTAACAATTTTCGGGCCCTGGGACCGTCAAAAACGGATCCATGGTGAAAAACTGCACCAGGTGGACAGAGGACCCCCCGGGAGGGGTCTGGGGACCGATTCTGGCACAGATTTGGTCTCGACTCCCCCTCCTGACTGATTTGCTGGGGTCCCCTCCAGTTCAGGACCCCGGTCGCCGCCAATCTAGGGGCCGTCAAGAGACGCGTCAGGATGAGAAGCCGCTCCCAGGGAAAGGGTCGGGCCCTCGGGGCGTCCGCGTTTTTCAAGATACCAGCAGGTTGGCGACGCGCTCGACAACGACGTCGTCGACGTCGTCGTTTTCAAGTTTTTCTTGGCGTCTCTGGGTCTTCTGGTCGCCACGGCCAGACGCGGTCCGAACAACTGCCCCAGACCCAGTTTGTGTTTGTGGTGTGTGTTTGTGTGTGTGTGCCTGTGTGTGTGCGTCTGTTTGTGTGCGTGTGTGTCAGTGTGTGTGTGTGTGTGTGTGTGTGTGTGGTGTGTTGGTGTGTTGGTGTGCTGGTGTGTTGGTGTGTTGGTGTGTGTGTGTGTTGGTGTTGGTGTTGGTGTTGGTGTTGGTGTTGGTGTTGGTGTTGGTGTTGGTGTTGGTGTTGGTGTTGGTGTTGGTGTTGGTGTTGGTGTGTGTGTGTGTGTGTTTGGCGCCTCCGAGGCAGGCGGCAGGACCTCTTGGAAGCCCTCCCGCCCTCCAAGAAGTCCTCCCGGGAGCCCCCGAGCCCCCCTGAGAAGCGGCCCCCTCGCCCCACCCGTGAGATCTGGTCGTCGCATGCTTTTTTCCTACACTGGGAGTCTTCACCCGATATCAAAATCCCGAACCCTCTCAGATCGATGCAGCTCGAGAGGTGCCGCAGAATGCCGGCGCCCAGGGTTTTGGCCGAGACTTCTCGCGGTGATGCAGCTTCCGTGGTCGTCGCGTCCCCTGGCTGGCGCCGCCCAAGAGGGCTGCGCCGCGCTGGCCGTGCGCCACAGCGCGTCCCCCTGCCCTCCCAGAAGCCTTCCCAGCTCCCTCGCCCCGCCCGCACCCCCCGTGCGCGCGCCGCCAAACACACAGAGATCCGATGTCTTGATCTGTTCATTGCGGGGCCCCTGGAAGTCTGGACCACTCCCGGGGGCCGGCTTTTCATCCCCAGTAGTTTTTTTGGGCGGTCCCAGGGCCCAGCGAGGGCTTCCAGAGGCCGAAGACAGCAAACAAAAGCCGTACCGACTTTTTCAGAGCGTTGGATCCCTGGGAAGGGCTGCACCGCGCTGGCCGTGCGCTGCAGCGCGTCCCTGGCCCTCTACCTGTTCCGCCCCGCGCTCGCGCTGTGGCGGCTCCGCTCGGCGCTCCGCGGCCCGCGGCGCCGCGCGCGGGCCTGGGCGGCGGCGCAGGTCCGCGGGGGCCTGGTGGCAGCACGGCGCCTCGGGGGTCTGCGGTGCCTGGCTCGGCACGCCTCGGGGCGCCGCGCGCACCACGAGCTCGCCAGCCGCGCTTCTGGGCACGCCCGTGCAGTCCTGTTGGCGATGGCGTCGGACGCCTGGGTCGTCTGCACCCGGCTGCAGCGGCGCAGCAGGCGGCTGAGCTCTTATGTGGCGGCCTCGTCGGCGCGGGCGAGGCGGAGGTGTGCGTTGGGGAGGTGGGCCCACGAAGCGTGCCGCCAGCGCCAGCGGAGGCAGGCGTGGCTGGCCATGTCGCAGAGCCGCCGCACCACGAGCCTGCGCAGCACCCTCCTCGCCTGGCTTGCCGCCTCCAGGCAGTCCCTAGCCATGCGCCAGGCCCTGCGCGACGCCAGCACGCGGCATGCCGCGCGCCTGCTGGCCGCTGTGGTGTGGACGTGGCGTGCCAGGGCCTCCCAGGGCGGGCTGCTGAGGCAGAAGGTTGCCGAGTGCCAGTGGCGCCGGCGCTGTGGCTCGTCGGGCAGCGGCCTGCGGGGTTGGCGTGCCTGGGCCGCCTGGGAGAGCAGGCGCCGGGGGCTGCTCGCAGGGGCCCTGCGGCGCGCAGGCGCGGCGCTCGCCGCCGGAGCCCTCGGGCGGTGGGCCCGGCTCGCGCGGCGCGGCCGCTGCCGGCGCGAGGCCGAGGGCGCGCGCCGGGAGCGGCTGCAGACCGGGGCCCTGCGCTCCTGGGCCGCAGGCGCGCGCCTGCTGCGCGCCCTGGGGCAGCTGCGCGCCAGGGCGCAGCAGGCGCGGCAGCGGGCCCTGGGGGCCCACGGCCTGCGGGCCTGGCGGCGGGCCTCGCAGCGGCTGGCCCGGGGCCGCGGGGCAGCGTGCGCGCTGCGCGAGGCGCGGGGGGCCCGCTCCAGGGCCGAGGCGCTGCGCCGGTGGCGCGGCCCTCAGCAGAGCCGCGCGGCCCGCCTGGGCGGGAGAGTCGGCGGAGCGAGGTTCGGCGGTTCGCAGAGGCTCGTCGACTAGACGTAAGAGTGACCTTTCGCCGGAGTGACCTTTGGTGCGGGCACAGATGGGTCACCATCTGGCTGAAAACGAAGCAGTAGCAGCTGCTTGCGCGTCCAGGTTTGGTGACCCCGCGGCCCCCCCAAAGTCGCGCACCAGAGGTCACTCTTACCCAGGGTCACTCTTGCGTATAGCCGAAGAGGGGGGGTGTTCTCCCAAGGTGCGGTCAGGGAGCGGGCCCAGCTGGATGCTCACGCGTCCCGCTTCCAGGGGTCATGTTCGGACGGGCTATGGGACGAGGATGCTTCCGTTCCAGAGCGTTCTGGAGCGCTCTGAGAAGGCCGCGGCGCCCGAAACATCCTCCAGAGCTGCCGGATCTCAGGGATTTTCAAATTTTCTTCGCCCCATTTGGTCCTCGTCCTGGCTTCGTCGTACACTTGGAGCGATTTCCCTCGAACCCCACCGCTGCCCCATACCCCACCGGTCCGTCCCCCCGAGCGTTGCTCCTCTTGGTGGTCTCCAAACCAGGTGGTGAGACACCCGGTGGTGACCCCGATTCCCCCCAACAAAAATTCTGGGTCACCACCGGGTTTGGGGACACGCGGTCGCCACGAGGTTTTGCGTTTCCTGGGCCAGCCAGCGCTCGAAAACCATTACCCAAATCGCCCAAAACTCACCACCGGGTGTTCTCACCACCACGTTTGGGGACCACCAATCCTCGGCCGTCTGCCCTCTCGCCCTCATTCCTGCCCTCCCTGCCCCCCCCCCTGCCTCCCACGGCAAGCGCCCCAGAGCTCTCGACGCGACTCGGCGGCGAGCGAGAGCGAGGGGGGGGGGAGTAAGAAGGAGAAGGCCTCGTCAGAAGGCGGCGGGACTTCTGGAAGCCCTCGCGCCTTCCGAGAAGTTTTTTTGTTGTGTGTCTTCGGGGGAGGCTCAGAAAACTTCTCGGAAGGCCGGCGGACTTCCGAGCCCTCCGATCAGGCTCGCCCCCTCTCATTTCCCCCCGGGCTCGCCGCTGACCGATTCCCTGGGGCTGGTTTTTGTCGCCGCGGGTCCAGGAGCAGCCCCCAGCACACGTCGTTTCGCTGCGGCCGCGTGCTCGGGGGGCGCCAGCACCTTGATAGTCCTGCTGGTTGGTTTTGCGGGTCCTGCGGCCTTTATTTGCGACCAGCAGCAGCTGTGAGGGCTCGCCTAGGAATGGAAGACCCCGATCTGGAGGACAAGAAGGGAACGCCTCGATCGAATTTCCAGAGGCCTCATGCCCAGGGTGCTCAAGCGAGCTGAGAAGGTGGCCAAGTCCTGATCATATATTTGGACCCGCTTCGCGATCATTCTTGTCTTATCTGATCCTATCTCCTCCCTCCTTCCCCTCTCCCTTCTTTCGTCCTCCCCTGCCCCCTCCCCCCCCTCGTCCTTCCGCCCTGGGACGCGGACGATCTCCCCAGGGCGGGTGTGGTCTGCAAATATCTCCCCCCGCCACGGGGGGAGTTGTGCTCCGTGCTCATTCCTGGGCGCTCTTCGGCCCACCTAGAAGGAGGAGGAGGAGGAGGAGGAGGAGGAGGAGGAGGAGGAGGAGCCCAAGTCCTTTCCTGTTTTGGCACCGACGTGGCATCTTGGCGTGGGGGAGGCGCGTCCCGCGCCAGCAGGTCCTCGGCCAGTGCTGGCCCCCGGGATCTGGGATACCTTTCCGTGAGCTCCCGCCGGGGCATTTTGTGAGCTCTTGCTGGAGCAACCTTTACCAATTGCACTTGCTCCTCGATGTCTTTCAAAGACCACTGCGAATCATCGGCAACCTTACTGCTTTGGCGTGGTGGTCAGAGTGACGTCACTTGTAGCTCTTGCGTGGCTTCAGCAATAACTCCTCCCACTGCAGATGGTGCTATCACTGTCGTCGATCGATGTCTTTCCCGCTTCAAGAGTCACCTGCCCATGCTCCAGGAGGCAAATGGGGAGACCAACGCTTCCAGAACAAAGGAGGAGCCAGCAGGGCTGGTCTCCAGATACTTCACCGATTGGTTCAGGGAGTCGACAACAAGTACAAGTATGGCTTCTGCTAGGGGCTTCGAGGGTCATCCGCGACGAACACCCCAGCCACCAATGTCCTCCTGGCATCCGAGCCGGAGATCAAGACGCGTAAGGCTAACAATGATGATTTCGTCAAGCGACAGGACAAGATCGTAGTGGAGTTCGAGGCCCTGGAGACCGAAGGTCGTGATCCGGGAGCACATCGACACACGTGTTGATGTATTTCAACACAGCAGCGTCGCTACAATGATAGCAAGGGCTACTTCAGCCAATCCAACGTCAACAGGCAAGCGCGGACTGATGTCGTTGGTCCATTGGGCGACGCCATCCGCTCCCACTTCGGCCAGTTGTACAAGTCGATGCCAGTTCGAGCGGCAGCCACCAAGATGGTTGCCACCCTGCTCCACCCCTCGGCGGTCGAGGAAGCTGATGGAGCCCTTGGCCTCTTTTGGGGCGGAGGCGGAAGGAGAGTTGGCGGAGGTGCTGGAGATGTCGCAGTGCAGCTTTTGTGCCTGGGGCAACCCGGACAGCACTTCCCCATTTACAGACATCGCATTGTCCAGTCGCTCTCTTGCCATGTCATTCGGAGCCCTCCAGGCGCATGCGCCTCTGAGGAGCATCCCGCCCTGCAATGCGGGCTCTGTCCCCCAGGGGGTGGCCGCAGGCATCCTGGCTCTTTGGACCGACCATCCTTCTCACAGGCTATCAGCCTTCGTCGATGTTATCGTGCCACATCCCACTCTCTTCCAGTGTGTTCTGTTTGAGTACCATCCTCGCATCCTTCTTCTTGTCTCGTTCGTGCTTCTGTGCGCTTGTGTCGTTGCCCATCTCTGCATTTCTGAGGGAGCGGCATCGCTGCATATTGGGCGCCTTGGCGAGGGTGGCGTCTGATGTTCAAGCCCTCGTGTCTGCGAGGTTCGGCCGCTGCCATTGTCTTCCACCTGTCTCCGGGGTTCGGCCAGGTTTCAGGACTGCTGGGAACATTCCATCGACACTATCATCTGAGGTGCAGGCCATGCTTGGTTCCTCCTCCTGCCTTGCCCCCTCTCTGCCGTTTCTATTAGCCCTTCCCCCTCTTCCCACTTCCCATCAGGGCCAGATCCTCAAGGTCTGGAGTGGTAGACAAGCCAGGCGTGGAGCGACTAATCCTTCAGCGGGTCAAGCTCTAGTGGTGTTGGGCGTTTTAACACAGCCGTCGGCGTGTGATGTTATTTGTTTCACTTTTTACCTTTCTGGAAAGAGCTTCCAGCCAGGGGATGGTGTAATACCTTTGCTTTCGTTGTCGCATGATCCCCCTGCAGTACCCTTTTCAAACAGACGACGAGGAGGATGAGGAGGAACATGGGAGGAAGATGAGGGGGAGGAGGGAGAGGATGAGGATAGGGGTGGAGGAGAAGGACTACAGGAGGAGAAAGAGGAGGAGGAGGAGGAGGAGGAGGAGGAGGAGGAGGACCGTGGGAGGAGTTGGAGGAGGAGGAGGAGGAGGAGGAGGAGGAGGGAGAGGGGGAGGGGGACAAGCTAGGTACGCTCGCGTCATATCTGACATGCTACCCCTCCCTCCCATCCCTTACCATGGCGTAGATCCCCTCTCTACTCGCACAGTCAGATGTCGAGCAGGGCAATGATCCCGAAAGGGTACGCGATGCATCGTAGAGCACGGCATGGCATGGCGTAGAAGAGCACCGCAAAGCGTAGTATCAACCTAGCATTGCATTGCATGCCGTGGCATGGCACGGGAAATGACGCCAGCACTGCAGCGGGAGCACGAGTCGGAACGAGCGGAAGCGCGGAAATGAGGCCAGCGCTGCAGCGGGAGCACGATTCGGAACGAGCGGAAGCACGGAAATGAGGCCAGCGTTGCAGCGGGAGCACGATTCGGAACGAGCGGGGCCCGAAAATGAGGCCGGCGCCTCAGCGAGAGCAGCATTGTGGAAACAAATGCAGGCGAAAACCCAATTCCGGGGAATCCTGTGTGTGAAAAAACAGTACGCGGGGTGGGGGGGGCTAACACTGTCAAGCCGTCATCAGGGGAAGAGGGAGAGTAGTATTCATATTGAGTAATTGCGGAGGAGGAGGAAGAGGAGGAGGAGGGAGGAGGACCAGTGTAAACCCAAGAGTCATCAACGATTTTGGAATCAACCCTCCCTCCAAGCTCCCTCTTCACAGGCCCCTATAACGGTCATTTCCACTGAGGGAACTGCCTCGTTGGAAGACAAACCTTTGAAAACCCTGAAGCATGCCAAAATATTGTTTTCGGGATTCCAACGCCACGGATGAGTCCGACTGTTGCGTCTTGACGATCCTGAATCGTGTCAGAACATCATTCTTGGGACTTCAGCACCGCGCATCATGAATCATGAATCCCTCCAGAACATCATTTCTGATACGTTGATCATGGGAATTCGTGACAGTTGCCAATTTTTTAAGCACGAATGCGAGCGGCTCTAAGGCGAGAGCCACACTGTGAAAACGAACCGTCCTCAATCCGTGAACTCTAGCAAGTTTTTATAAACGTATGTGCGCGGCGCTGAGGCGAGAGCCACACTTTGAAAACCACCCGCCCTGAATTCGTGAAACTCTTGTTGAATCGAATGTGCGCGGCGCTAAGGCGAGAGCCACATATTGAAAACCACCCGCCCTCCATATGTGAATCGGTTGCCAATTTTTAAGCTTCAGGTTTGTACACGGTGTGGAAGTCTCAGGCGAAATGCCCGGCCCGCCCTAAAAACTTACCTCGGGGTGCGAAAGGGAGAATGATGATGATGATGGTGGTGGTGGTGATGATGATGATGATGATGATGATCATGCTGCTGCTGCTGATGATGATCATGATGATGATGCTGATGCTGATGCTGATGCCGATGCTGATGCTGATGATGATGATGATGATGATGATGATGATGATGATGATGCTGATGATGATGATGATGATGATGATGATGATGATGAGATGATGATGATGATGATGATGATGATGATGATGATGATGATGATGATGATCAGGAGGAGGAGGAGGATAAGGATGAGGCTCGTGATTTTAGATTTCCAGCGGCAGCATGGGTTATCGGGGAGGTCCCCCTCCCAGCTGACCTCTTTTTGTTGGTTGCGGAGGTCCGAAGGAGTGGCGGGGTGCGCAGGCGCTGCGGTGCACGAGGCACTGTAGTCTACACCGCAGTTTCTGTGAACACGTGCTGGGTGGTGTGCGGATATGCAAGTGCATCAGTGCAGCTACGTGGTGATCACACGCATTGTGGCGTATATGCCGTTCTGTGGTCCGAGCAGGCGCTACGTCTGCTGTATGTGGCTGCTTTCAGCAATCCCATACGCTGCGCCGGGGTATGCCTGCTGATGCTAGCTGTCCACACCTATTCCTGGGCCTTCCTCGACGGCGCAAGATCCTCGCAACACCACCAATGCTAGCATCGTCGCAGCATCGTTGGCAGCATTAGGAGGCGCAGTACTTGTGCGCGCGGGCATACGTGGGGCTGCCATAACCGAAACTATTTTATTGTCGGCTGTCCCCCGATACATTGACTTGTTTAGAACATGCAAGACGCATGTCCGAGGGGGAGAAGGAGGAGGAGGAGGACAAGAAGGAAGAGAAGGAGGAGGAGGAGGAGGAGGAGGAGCAGGGGGAGGAGGGGGAGGAGGGAAACCAGTGTAAACCCAAGACTCTTCAACGATGTTGGAGTACACCCTGCCTCCAAGCTCCCTCTTCATTGGCTCCTACAAGGGTTCATTTCCGCAGAAGGAATTGTCCAGTTAGGGGGCAACAGTGTGAAACTCTTGGAGCGTGCCAAAACATCATTCTCAAGATTTCGACGCCACGAGTCAAGTTGACTGTTGCGTCTTGACGATTCTGAATCGTACCAGAACACCAATCCTGGGACGGCAACACCGCGAATCAATGTAATTGTTGCGCCCCGACAATCCTGAACCGTTCTTGAGCGCCATTTCTGTACGTTAGCAATGGGAACCAGTGGAAATTTTATGATTTTTCAAACGAATGTGCGCAGCGCTAAGGCGGGAGCCACATTTTGAAAACGACCCGCCCTCAGTCCCTGAAACTATTTGCGAGTTTTTGAAACGATTGAGCGCGGCGTGAAGGCGAGAACCACATTTTGAAAACCACCCACCCTCAATCCTTGAAGTCTTGCAAATCTTGACAACGAATGCGCGCGGCGCTAAAGCGGGAGCCGCATTTTGAAAACGACCCGCCCTCAATCCGTGAAAGCAATGCGAATTTTTAAAGCGAACGTGTGCGGCGCTGAGGCGAGAGCCACATTTTGAAACCACCCGCCCTCAATGTGTGAAACTCTTGCACGTTTCTAAGCTTCGGGCTCAGAGGTGGTCAGGAATCCTCGGGCGAAGCGCCCGGTCCGCCCTTCCGACCGTCCTCGGGGCGCGCCAGGGAGGAGCTCCTCCAAAGGACAAAGGACTGGGAGGAGGAGCGCGGCACACCCTCACGATCACAGCACCTCATGGGGTCAGCCACAGAGCCTCGGGATCCGCAGTGCCGCCCTCTCCTGCGCATCCTTCGGCGGAGGGGTCGGGGCCTCCGGGGCTCGCCCATGGGGGCCCTGACGGCGCCCCTGCGGCTCTTCCCCGGCCTGCCGACCCCCCCCACCCGGGGCTGCGGGGTCGACGCCGCGCCCCGCTCGAGCCCCCGCACCTCGCCCCGACGCGGGCCAGCCGCCGGCGACTGCGACGACGATGGCGCCGCCGTCGCCGACGACGAAGGCCGCCCCGGGCAGCCCCCCAGAAGGTTCACCGAGGGCCGAGGGCGTCCACGGAGTGCCAAGAATGTCCAGAGATGATTGGAAGCGTCCTCGCACCTGGATCCTCGAAGCTCGAAGCTCGACGGCGACGGACGGCGACGACGCCGCTGGCGAGGAGGAGGAGGAGGACGACGACCACGGCAGCGACGGGTGACAGCGACGGCGGCGACGGCGGCGGGGGCGACGGCGACGACCGCTACGATCGTGACGGCGAGGAGGTCGGCGGCCACGACGACGGCGACCACGACGGCGAGGACGGCGGCGGCGGCGGCGACGCCGACGCCGAGGCGCCTCTCGTCGGCGCAGCGCCGCCGGTGCCGGGAGCGGCTGGGGGCCGCGCTGGGCAGGTTGCGGTCGGCGCTGTTGGGGGCCTGCCTGGCGTCCTGGTCGGAGGTGGTCGCCAGGCGGGTGCGGTGGCGGCATCAGTGCGGCCTGGCCAGGTCTCGTCGTCGTCGTCGTCGTCGTCGTTGTTGTTCGTCGTCGTCGTCGTCGTCGTCGTCGTCATCGTAGGAGGAGGAGGAGGAGGAGGAGGAGGAGGAGGAGGAGGAGGAGGAGGAGGAGGAGGAGGAGGAGGAAGAGGGGGATGCGCTCACGCCATATCTGACATGCTCTCCTCCCACCCTCTCGTTCCCATTGTGCTGATTTGTTATCTATCCGCCGACGCGTGTCATCGCGGACTTGGAAGTCCAAAAATAACCCCATCATGTTGTGCGCAATCGGAAATGTGGAGCTGCGTACATTGAAGGAGGAGGAGGAGGAGGAGGAGGAGGAGGTGGCGGATGAGCAGGAGGATGAGAAGGAGGAACAGGAGGATGAGGAAGGAGGAGAGCGAGGACGAACAGCAGAAGGAGCTGAAGGAGCAAGAGGACCACGGGAAGGGGGAGGAGGGGAAAGGAGAGGGGCGATGATCACGAGGAAGGATTCGGATCCAGAGAAGTGGCCCGCACTGGCGAGAGCGCCATTCTGAACGACGGGAGCAAAGCTCCGATCCTAAACTGGAGCCCACGCTGCAGCGGGAGCAGCAAGTCGGGCATGTCCATCTACATGAGGAAAATCCCAAACTGATCAAATAGTCGGGGGACGATTTTCAGCTATTTTCGACTATAGTTGATTATTTTTGTGACTATTTTTGAAATTTCGCCCAACATCTGCCTGTAGCAGGACATGCTCGACCTAACAGGAGCACCGTTTTGAAGCACCGAGCAGGTTGCGACGGGAAACAAACCACAGGAGAGACCAAGTAATGACATCGTGTGTGTGTGTGTGTGTGTGTGTGTAAAGAACACTACGTGGAGAAGGCGGAACATCTTCCAGACAGAGTCAGGGCAGACGGAGCAGAAGTATTAACATATTGAATAATTGTGGAAGGGGCCGGACGAGGAGGAGCAGGAGAAGGGGAGAGTGAGGAGGAAGGGGGGGAGAACGTGTGGACTAGGAAGAGGAGGGCGGAAGGAGAGAGAGGAGGATGTATGAGAGGGGAAGAGGAAAGGGAAGGGGAGGAGGAGGATGAGGATGAGGAGGAGGACCAGAGAAAGCCCAAGATGCATCAGCCATGCTGCAATACACCCTCTCCACCCGTACCTGTTGCTCAGTAGCCCTGCATGCATTTGTCCACTGCGCGGAGCTCCTGTTGAAAGACGAGTGCCCTACGGGCCCACAGTGCAGGTGGGAGTTCTCTTTGGAAGGAAATGGGAAACCGCCCTGCATCCTACGAGCTCGGAGCATACGACGAGGCAGAATTTGAAAGTTCAAGGAAGTGCCGAGCGACAGCCCCGCTTTGAAAAAAGGAATCGCCCTGCACCCGTATAGCTGTCGCACACGTGCCTACCTTCTGGTCATATGCGAGGTCTTAGGCGAAAGCCCAATTTTTTCAAACGATTCGCCCTCTAGCTACTGCACAATTTTTCACTTGTGATCATATTCCCAGTGTTCCCCAAGCAGTGATCGTACTCAGAAGTTCTTTTCTGTCTTACCTTAAAACTGGGCCTGGGTGGCGGTCCGGCCGCCTTGTGGTCGCCCCGTCGTCGCCCCGTCGCCGCCCCGTCGCCGCCCCGCCGCCGCCTGTCGCCGCCGCCCGCCTGGTCCTGGGTGGCGTTCCGACCGGCTTCTGGTGGTGGCGCCTGCGCTTATGGGGTTCTGACTTGTTCTGCCTTTAACTGGACCTGCGAGGGGGCGGCCCAGCCAGCTCGTGGCCGTCCCGTCGCCGCTCTGTCGCCGCCCGCCGCCGCCCGTCGCCGCCGCCCGTCGCCGCCGCCCGTCGGGACCTGAGAGGGGGCGGCCCGGCCAGCTCGTGGCCGTCCCGTCGCCGCTCTGTCGCCGCCCCGTCGCCGCCCGCCGCCGCCCGCCGCCGCCGCCCGTCGGGCCCTGGGTGGCGGTCGGGCCCGCCTGCGGTCGCCCGTCGCCGCCCCGTCGCCGCCCCGTCGCTGCCCCGTCGCCGCCCGTGGCGGCCGCCCGTCTGGCCCTGGGTGTCGGACTGGAGCCGCCCCGAAGGCACTTTCAGAGTCCCTGCGGTGCGACGTGGGCGCCCATGTCGCCCATGTCGCGCGCGTCGCCCATGTCGCCCACGTCGCCCATGTCGCCCATGTCGCCGCCCATGTCGCCCACGGCGCGAGCGCGCCTTTGCGCGGAGCCAGCGTTGATTGCGCAGTTTTTGCGGCGCCGACCGTGTGGGCAGGGTGTCCCGCTGCAGGGGTCGTTCGGCCGTCCGCGTATATTCTCTTCTAAAAAGACTCTACCCTCCCCCCCCGGGATTATCCGTTCCCTTCTTCGTATTGCAATCGGCATGATTCTGCCCCATCGTCCATCCCAGCCCAGCCGGTATCGCCCCCCGCCCCCCCCCCATTCTGTGCAACAGAGACTATGCGCGCGCATTCGTTTATCACACATTCATCAGTGTCTCAAGAACCCTATGCGTAAGATGGGATGAAGTGAGCACGCGCGCGTCGTCGCGCGAGCATGCCGGAATTCTTTAAAGCCAACTCGAGCACCCGAAACAAAAATACAAAGCCATAGGGTTTCGAAACACGGATTTTCAAGAAAAGCTTGTGCGCGCCTTCTTGCGGTTCTTAGGAAAAACCGTAGGTTTGTATCCACAACTTTCAGGAGATGCTGCAAAACGGGCTTCGCGCGCGCATGTCGAAATCGTTCGAACGACCTTGCGCGCGTGCCGTCGCGAAAACTTTGTGCAAATGGGACGGAATGCGCGCGCGCGCGTCGTCGCGCGCGCTTGCCGAAATCCGTCAAAAACCTCTGGTGTCGTAGCGATTTCAAATCCGAGTGTCCAAACAACATACAAAACATTTGGTTTCGCAACATCAGTTTTCAAGAAAGCGTGCGCACGCGCTCTTGCGACTTCTTGAGAAAACCATCGTTTTCGGACATTAACTTATTATTATTATCATTATTATTATTATTATTCGTATTATTATTATTATTGTTATTATTATTATTATTCGTATTATTATTATTATTATTATTATTATTATTATTATTATTATTATGAATATAACCATTTTCGTGCAATTCAGCCAAACGGGCCTCACGCGCCGCATGCCGACATCATTCGCACGCCCTTGCGCGCGTGCTGGGGGGGCATGATCTGTGTCAAATCATAACATGCGGGCCACCCTCGCGCGTCGGCCGCGCGCGCATGTCGAACTCTTTCCAAAACCTTCATCACCGACGCGAGGACGCCGTCATCGTCGTCGGCGCTATCAGCATCGGCGCCCGCACTGGCTGCCGTGTCGTCGTTGTCAACATCGTCACCAGCATCGCTGCTACCATCATCGTGTCTACCATTGTCGACGTTGTCATGATACCGCGCCCGTCCAAGTCGCCGAATCCCAGTGAAGTGCCTGCTGGGGCCCAGCGGTCAGCGCCACCGCGGCCGCGTCGGTTGCGCCAAACTAGCTGGCCGCTGCGCGCGCGTGCTTGGGTTGACGTGGCCGCAGAGATGCACCAACCAAGCCAAGCATGCATCGCAATCGCCACCGCATTGCTTTGGCAAGCCAAGTTGTGGGTGGGTGGGTGGGATGTTTGCAAAAGCATGGGATGTGCCAATTCCTTCTTTGAAATCAACTGCCGTTCGAACGCCCTTGCGCTCGTGCAGGAGTGACACGATCCGGGTCGCATAATATCATGCGGGCCAGTCTCGCGCGTCTGTCGCGCGCGCATGTCGAACGTCCCAAACTTCCACAACCGACGCGAGCACGCCGTCATCGTCGTCGGCGTTATCAGCATCGGCTCCCGCACTGGCTGCCCTGTCGTCGCTGTCAGCATCGTCACCAGAATCGCTACTATCATCATCGTATCTACCGTAATCGACGTTGCCATGATACCGCGCCCGTCCAAGTCGCCGAATCGCAGTGAAGTGCCTGCTGGGGTCAGCGCCACCGCGGCCGCGTTGGTTGCGCCAAACTCGTGCGCGCGCGTGCTGGGGTTGACGCGGTCGCAGAGAAGCACCAACCAACGCCAAACATGCATCGCAATCGCCACCGCGTTGGTTTTGCAAACCAAGTTGCGGGTGGGTGGGTGCGACGAGCCTGCGCGGCCGTCAAGGCAAGAATCACATTCTGAGACTAACTTGCCCTCCGTCCTTGTAATTCTTGATATTTTCAAGACGAATGTGCGTGGCGCCAAGGCGAGAGCCACATTTTGAGCAAAACCAGCCCTCCATCCGTGTAGTTGTTGGAAGCTTTAGGTCTCGGGGCAGTAACTTGGGAAATTTCAAGCGAAACGCCTGGCCCAGCCTACGGACACGTCAGGTGGTGCGGCTTGGGGGCGTCATTTATCCAGTGGCCTTCGGGCCATTCCGCCAGAGTGCCTGGGGTGTACTAGTACGTCAGGGGTCTCTTGGATGTCTCTTCGAATCTCTTGGGGCCTCTCGCCAGCTTCTTGGAAGCAGTTTCGGGGGCCTCTTGCGGACCTTTCGGGGCCTTTTTTGGGCCTGTTGGTTGGGGCCTCCTGAGGCTTGTTGGGGGCCTTCAAGGGATTGCTGGTGGTCTCGGGGGTCATCTTTGGGGCGGAGGGCTTGAAATGCTAATTCGTCCGGGCCGCCTTGGGCCCTCTTGGGCCATCTTGGGGCACTCTTTGGCCGTTTTGGGGCCCTGTTGGGGGCCTATTTTGCCATCTTGGGACAGTCTTTGGGCTCCCTTTGGCTTTCTTGGGGCGTCGGAAACGCAAAGCGGCGAGAACCTTACATCTTTCAACAGCCGACGTGGCCTCTTGGGGCCTCTTGGGCGGCCTCTTGCATCGTCTTGAGGCCATCGTCTGCGTCTCGAAGCGCTCTTGGGCCGTCCTTGGGCCCTTTGGGCCGTCTCGGGGCCGCTGCGGATCCTTCTGCCCGGCTTGGAGCCGTCCGGCCGCCGAGCAGATTCAGCGGGAAGCTCAAGAAGACACGTGGGAAGCCCCATGAGGCAATCTAGGGTCTGGGCCGATCACGATTCAGTTATTCGTGCTTGAAATTTCAATATTCGAAGGACCTGAGGACACTCCAACTCGTGCCTCGTGGCACGGTGACGGATCATGCAGAGAGATGGTAGAGGAGGAGGAGGAGGAGGAGGAGGAGGAGGAGGAGGAGGAGGAGGAGGAGGAGGAGGAGGAGGAGGAGGCGGAGGAGGAGGAGGAGGAGGAGGAGGAGGAGGAGGAGGAGGAGGAGGAGGAGGAGGAGGGAGGAGGAGGAGGAGGAGGAGGAGGAGGGGAGGAGGAGGAGGAGGGAGAGGAGGACGAGGAGGAGGAGGAGGAGAGGAGGAGGAGGGAGGAGGAGGAGGAGGAGAGGAGGAGGAGGGAGGAGGAGGAGGAGGAGGAGAGGGGGAGGAGGGGGATGAGGAGAAGGAGGAGGATGAGGAGGCGGAGGAGGAGGAGTAGGAGCAGGAGGAGGATGAGGAGGAGGAGGTGGAGGAGGAGGAGGAGGGGGAAGGGGAGAGGAGGGCTAGAAAGGGGAGGTGGGCATGCGGGAATCTGAAGAAGGAGGAGAAACAGGAGGAATCGAGCTGTCCATGTTGTAGCTTCCCCAGGTCCCACCTGGCCAGCGGGTGCGCGCTCTTGAGGCGCAGGCTCTGGGGCGAAAGCCCCCCCCCCGTCTCTCCTCTTGTCCTGTGTGCCGTCCTGGACTCTCCCCTGCCCCTGTATCCTCCCCCCCTCTCTCCATCCCTCTTAATCTGCCTCTCTTTCTCCTTTTTCTCCCTCCCTCCTGCCCTTCCTCCCATCCACACTTACACACTATGGGTACTACTCGCCTCTCTGCCCTGGCCCCGTGCGGAAGGTATTCGACCCTCTCCGTTTTTTTTTTTTTTTTTTTTTTTTTTTTTTTTGTTGTTCATTTTTTTTTTTTTTTTTTTTTTTTTTTGTACACAGGGTTTAAAGTTGGTCATTCCTACGTTTATGTTGCACTCCGATTGTGCTCGGTCCTTCAACATGCCGCTCACGTTTCAGCGTTTATTTCATTTTAGGATCGGCGCGCTGCTCCCTTCGTTCAGAATGGCACCGTCATCCCAGCGCGGCCCACTTTTCTGGATCCGAGTCCTTCCTCATCGTTGTCGCCCTCCTTTCCCCTCCTCCGTCCGCCTTCCCCTGGTCTTCCTGCTCCTCTCGCTCCTTCCACTCTAGTTCCCGCTGCTGCTGTTCGTCCTCGTCCTCCTCTTCCTTCCTCATCCTCCTTTTTTTCTCATGCTCCTCCTCCTCCTGCTCATCCGCCACCTCCTCATCCTCCCCCTTCTCCTATATGAGCAGCTTCTCCTTTCCCGATCGCGCATGACACGATGGGGTCTTTCTTGTGAGTTCCAGGTCCGCTATGACACACGTCTGCAGATATAGAACAACTCAGTCCGATGTGAAGGGATGGGTGGGAGTGGTTTGATGTCAGATATGGCGCGAGCGCCCTCTTGCTCCTCTCCCTCCTCCTTTGCTCCTCTTCCTCCCCTTTCCTCGCTTTCCTCCCCTCTCCTTCTCTATCTTCTCTCACTCTCTCATCCCTATCTGCCTCCTCTCGCCTCCCCTCCCCCTCCCGTCCCCTGCGCAGTGGTAGGCGGGGGGGCGGGGGGGAGGGAGAGGACAACGAAAAAACGATGAGGAGCAGGAGAAGGAATGAGGAATAATCAGGAGGACCACGGGGAGGAGGAACGAAGGTGGAGATTCGATGTTTTCACGAATTGGGCTTCGCCGTAGGGTTTCGATTCGTCGGTGAAGAATCGGTGGGTGCAGTCGCCGGTTTGCGCAGGGGTTCACCAGGGTTCCTTGGTCGTGTGTCCTTGCAAAGGGGTTTCCTCTGGGCTTCTGAGGTTTAATTCAAGAGGCTTGCGCCGTTCCGCCGGCCCGCAGGAGAGGGACGTCAATCTACGGGTGAGGTCCCTCGGGGACACTCCTGGGGGCCTCTTTCTCTTTGGGGCCTCTTCGGGCCTCTTGGGAGTTTCTTGGGCGCCAGCTGGCGGTCTCGGGGGTCCTCTTGGGGCGGAGGGCTCGGAATGTTGGTTCGAGTGGCCTCTCTTGGGCCCCTCTTGGGGCCCTGTTGGGGCTCGCTTGGCGCATCTTGGGCTCCTCGTGGGCCGTCTCGGGACCCTCTTCGGCCGTCTTGGGGCCCTCTTGGGGGCTTCTTGGGCCGTCCTGGAGCGATCTTTGGGGCCTCTTGAGCCGGCTTGCACGCTGTTGAGACCCAAAGTGCGAATATGCTCAACACGAATATTTTTGCAATGGATTTTAACGATTCTTGCTTCTTGGGGCCCTGTCGGGGATCGTCTTGGAGCCCTTTTTGGGCGTCTTTGAGGCGTCTTGGGCAGTCTTGAGGCCATCGTGGTCGTCTTTGAGGACTTCTCGGCGTGTTGGAGCCCTGCTTGATCCAGCTTAGATGGCATCTTGGGCATCCGAGAGGCCACGGAGTGTAGGTTTAGAGGCTCTGGAGGCCCCCGCGGTGCGTTGACGAGCTCGTCCCCCCCCCTCCCCGCGGCCCCGTCCCCGGCCCCCTCCCCGGCCCCCCCCCCCCCTCTAATCGGATTTCAGACCCCAGGGGAGGGGAACATGGGGAGGGGGACAGCCAATCATCCCATACGCCTTTGCACCCCTAGCAAGCGGGTGTCGTCGGAATTCCTTGCAAGGCGTTGCTGGGGTTGCTTGAGAAGTCCTTCCTCGGGTTCGCTGGGCTCTTTTTTGTCTTGTTTCCTCGTTGTTCCCAACCATCCTGTAGTGTTGTGCTCTCGTTTTGAAGAGACAGGCGCCCTGCGTCTCCTCTCCTCTACTCCTACTCCCCGTCCTCCCTCCACCCGCATCATCATCATCATCATCATCATCATCATCATCATCATCATCATCATCATCATCATCATCATCATCATCATCATCATCATCATCATCATCATCATCATCATCATTATCATTGTCATCATCATCATCATCACCACCATCATCATCATCATCACCATCATTATCATCGTCATCGTCATCGTCAGCGTCATCATCATCGTGATCGTGATCGTCATCATCATTATCAGCGTCAGCATCGGTATCATCATCATCATGATTGTCATCATCATCACCATCATCATCATCGTCATCATTATCACCATCATCATCGTCATCGTCATTGTCATCGTCATCGTCATCGTCATCGTTATCATCATCAGCACCAGCATCGGCATCATAATCATCATCATCGTCATCATCATTCTTATGATAATCGTTGTTATTATTAGAGTTAGTAGTATCATTCTTATTCGTGCGATTGTTGTCCTTGTTATCATTGTCTTTATTCGTATTGTTATCATCAGCTTCAGCATGAGGCATCGGCATCATCATTAGCATCAGCATCATCATCACCACCATCATCATACTCATCATCATCATCATCATCATCGTCGTCGTCGTCGTCGTCGTCGTCACCATCATCGTCATCATCATCATCATTGGCATTGTCATCGTCATCGTCATCGTCAATGTCGTCATCAGCTTCGTATTCCTCGTCATCACGATTCTCGTCATCATCATGATCACCATCATCACCATCAGCATCAATATCATCATCAGCAGCAGCAGCAGCAGCAGCAGCAGCAGCAGCAGCAGCATCATCATCATCATCATCATCATCATCATCATCATCATCATTATCATTGTCATCGTCATTGGTGTCGTCGTCGCCGTCGTCGTCGTCGGCGTCATCGTCATTGTCATCATCATCGTTATCATCATCATCATCACCATCATTATCATCGTCGTCGTCGTTGTCATCATCATCATCGCCATCATCACCACCATCATCATCATCATCATCAGCATCAGCATCACCATCACCATCACCATCACCATCATCATCATCATCGTCATCATCACCACCACCACCACCATCATCATCATCATCATCATCATCATCATCATCATCATCATCATCATCATCACCACCATCATCATCATCATCATCATCATCATCATCATCATCATCATCATCATCATCATCATCGGCACACCCCTCGCACGTTTCGTGGCCCCTCAGGGAATTCCTTCGCAGGCCCCAGAGGCAGGGTTCGCACGAGTCCCGCCACACATTTCGGTACACTGCTCTGACGTTTCGTGTTCTCATTTGGAGCTCCGACGGCCCCAGTGGCAGGGTTCGCATGCGTCCTCGCACCCAATTTCGGCACACCCCTGACACGTTTCGTGGCCGCGTAGAGAACTCATCCGGAGGCACCATTTGGCAGGGTTTGAATGCGTTCCCCCACCCAATTTCGGCACATCCCTCACACGTTTCGTGGCCCCACAGGGAGCTCCTCCGAAGGCCCCAGTGGCAAGGTTCGCATGCGCCACTCCGCACCTTCGTGGCCCCGTGGGGAGCTCGTCCGAAGGCCCCCAGTGGCAGGGTTCGCATGCGCACCCCCCAACTATTTTGGCACACCTCTCACACGTTTCGTGGCCCCACTGGGAGTTCCTCCGAAGGCATGCCTCCGCCCCATTCATGTTGGCACAACCCGCACACGCTTCGTGGCCCTACAGGAAGCTCCACCCAAGGCCTCAGTGGCAGAGTTCGCATGCGTCCGCCCCTCCCCCCCCACACATGTCGGCATGTCCCTCACACTTTTCGTGGTCTCACAGGGGGCTCCACCGAAGGCCTCAGTGGCGGTGTTTGGATGGCACCACCGCGCCCATGTCGGTACACCCCTCACGCGCTTCGTGGCCCCAAATGGACCTCCATCGAAAGCGTTGCGTATCCACAACGCGTCACTCTCAGCTGGACGGATGGTTGGGTCTTTAGTCGAGATGATTTTGATCTTTGCCTTGTTTCCTCCTGATCTCCAGAGAAGCCTTCATAGGGTTCACCGGTGTCCTGGGTTTTGTTGCCTTATTGTTTTTGAAGAGGCTTTCCTCGGGTCCTTTGAAGAGGCTTTCCCTGGGTTCCTTGGTCTTGCGTCCTTGCGATGTTTGAAGAGGCCCCCCTCGGGTTCCCAGGTGCTCCCAGGTCTTGTTGTCCCCAAGCAATGCGCAGCAACGCAAGGCAATGACACACGCAATTCCGAGCACTGCCAAGCAACGCCAAGCAACGCCAAGCAACGCAGGGGAATGCGACGCATTACAGTGCCAGCAAGGCAATTCAATGCAATGCCGCAAAGCACACAAGTAATGCCGCTGAGAAAGACTTCCCTTAAATTGGGGTCACGCTGAGCTCGTCAAAACGACCAGCCCTTGGAGCTGTTGGATTGCGAAGGCCTTACGGCCGGTGCCGCCGACCCTGAAGACGACGAAGATGATTACGAGCGGGGGCGGGGATAGGAGGCGGAGGGGGAGGAGGAGGAGGAGGAGGAGGAGGAGGAGGAGGAGGAGGAGGAGGAGGAGAGCGGGGGGAAGAGGAAGGGTGGGGAGGCGGGATAAGGGAGGGGGAGGGAGGGGAAGGATGAGAGGAGGAGCATGAGGAGGAGGAGAGAGGAGGCAGAGGAGGAGCAGGAGGAGGGGGAGCAGGCTGGGGAGGAGGAGGAGGAGGAAGAGGATGATGAGGAGGAGGAGGAGGAGGAGGAGGAGGAGGAGGAGGAGGAGGAGGAGGAGGGTGGGAGGAGGAGGAGCAGGAGGAGGGAGGAGGAGGAGGAGGAGTAGGGCGTTGTGGCCTTCTGGGGTCTTTTGGAAACAGCTTTTCATGGGTTCGGGGGCGCTCGAGGGGGAAACGTATCTGGGCGGCGTCCTTTGGCCGTCTGGGGGCCACCTTTGGCCGTCCTTAGGCATTCTTGGGCTGTCTTGTTGGGCTTGGGCCGTCTAGGGGCGCTCTTGCGGATCCGTCGTGGCGACCACCCCCTCCCCCAGCGTATCTACAGAGGGCCTCTCTGTAAAAGCCGCAAACGGGGGATGCGAATCTGCCCCCCCCCCTCCCCCGGACACCCCCCCCTGCCGGGGAAGGGACAAAAGGAATGAGCTTTCTTTTGACGTGACTACGACGTGGGTCGATTTCCCTCAATCCCCGGACTCCTCCCCCCGACGACGGGAGAGTGTTCTCTCAGCCCCGACGGGGAAGGATAAACATAGAAGGCGTCCCGTCGACGGGACAAGACAGACACCCCACACACGTCGACAGGGTCGGCGGATTATAAACTTCATAATCACAAGCCGTCAGGACGTTCCAGACGAAGCAATTGGGCCATTCTACCAACACGTTCGGCTGAGCGATGAGGATGAGTTTTGTTTTCCAGGAAGAGAAGGATGCTTGATAAAAGGGGGGTACGGTTACGATGAGCACGGCGACGATGATGACAACGATGGCGATGATTGTGACGATGATGAATCGTATTACGATGGTGACGATGGTGACGATGATGACGGCGATAACGACGATGCTAATGATTGTGATGGCGATGATGATGACGACGGCGGTGGCTTTGATAACGGAAACGACGATAACTACGATAAGGATGACGATACTCATGATACTGAGGATGAGGATGCGCATGTGCTGACGATCGTGATGATGATGATGCTGATGGTGATGTTGATGATGACGATGCTGATGATGACGACGAGGATTATGATGATGATGATGATGGTTATGATGATGGCCATGCTCATGATAATGCTGATGATGGTGATGCTGCTGCTGCTGATGATGATGATTATGATGATACGGCTGCTGATGCGGCTGCTGCTGATGATGATGATGACGATGGTGATGATGCTGATGATGATGATGATGATGATGATGATGATGATGATGATGATGCTGGTGTTGCTGTTGCTGCTGCTGCTGATGATGATGATGATGATGATGATGATGACGATGGCGATGATGCTGCTGATGATGATGATGATGATGATGATGATGATGATGATGATGCGGCTTCTGATGCGGCAGCTGCTGCTGCTCTTGCTGCTGCTGATGAGGATGAGGATGAGGATGAGGATGAGGATGAGGATGATGATGATGATGATGATGATGATGATGATGATGATGATGATGATGATGATGATGATGATGATGATGATGATGATGATGATGATGATGATGATGATGATGATGATGATGATGATGATGATGATGATGATGATGATGATGATGATGATGATGATGATGATGATGATGATGATGATGATGATGATGATGATGAGGAGGAGGAGGAGGAGGAGGAGGAGGAGGAGGAGGAGGAGGAGGAGGAGGAGGACATGGAAGAGACGGCGAAGACATCATTCCTGCTCCCCCCCCCCAGGGCGGCTGTGGAGCTGTGGCGGAACCGCTCTGTCCTGCAGCGCCAGCGCCGTGGGGGTCTGCGGGGCCTGGGCCGGCGGGCTGCGGCGCGACTTGCTCGCGAGGCATTCCAGCTGTGGCAGGCGCGTCTGCGCTGGCTCAAGCTGAAGCAGCTCGCGGGTCGGCACGGGAACCTGCGCAGACGCCTGCTGCTGTTGGGTGACACGGCCTGGGCGTGGCGGTTCTGCGCGAGGCTGCTGCGCCTCGAGCGCCGGGCTGCGGAGCTGGGGAGCCGTCGGCTGCTGGGTCGCTGCTTCCTGGGGCTGCGGCTCCGCGGGCGGTTCGAGAAGCTGAAACGCCTCGCCCTGCAGAGAGGCCGCGCGAGGCGCGCAGTCGCCCTGGTCGGACAGGCTTTGGACCTCTGGGCC